TTTATATATATATATATATATATATATATATATATCTTTTTTTTTTTTTAACAATCAAAATAAACTTATCTAATAAAAATTATATTTATGTTGTTTATACTTATATCTTTTAAATAAACTTAATGAAAATAATTAAAAAAAGTCAAAATATATTTAATTTAGATTGATAAAATTATTTATGCTCTACAAATTGGTGTTAAACTTAAATTCGGTCAAAATTACGTGTCTACAGTTTGCCCCTCTTTGACTGGAAACACGAAGAGTTTTCAGACAAAGAAGTAGACAAAGTGACAAGTTTTGACCGAGCTCTTATTTGAAAGACCAAAATTTATGCGAGTGAGTCCTTGTTTTGGACAGCCTACATATCCCAGGTTATAAGGGAATCAGGTCACGTGTCAGGTCACGTGTAGTTCAAAGAGATGAGGTGATGAGTTAGAGTTAAGTAAGGTTCCATCGAGGCTCTAGATCGCGACTCTTAAAAAAATATATAAAATTGAAAGCTAATAGTGAAAAGAAAAACAAATGTCCATGCAGCTTTTCTTGAATCTTCACTTGAATTTTGACTTTAAGATATCACCTTGATTTTGGTGAATATCTTAGCTTTGAATTGGAATAGAGGCTAAACTTGCCACTTAGGCGGAACTTTTGACATTCTTCAAAAATGACAATTTGAAAAGTACTCTTGAATTGCTGTGTGTTTTCTTGATCAAAAGTTGACTAGTAAAAAAAATGTGAGGAAGTCAGGCTGCTACATGCATTGAAGGAGCTAATTCTAACCATATCTCGCTTGAGGAAACCTGAAAACCACCACAAACAAAAAATAAACAAAAATTTTGCCCCAGTTTTCACTGGGAAAATTTTGTGAGCTATTAGCAAATATAAATATAAAACATAAACTTCGACAAGGAAGTGTTTATTTTAGGAGAAAATAAAACTAAAAATCTAGACTATGAAGTGTTTATCATATGAGAAAGTAATCTAATCCCATTATTCAGGAGGGTCCTGTTAGTCCATTATCTAGGTGGTCCTGCTAATTCTATTATTCAGGAGGGTCCTACTAGTCCCATTATCCAGGAGGGTCCTGCTAATCCCATTATCCCGGAGGGTCCTGCTAGTCCCATTATCCAGGGAGGGTCCTGCTAGTCCTATTATCCAGGGGGGTCCTGCTAGTCCCATTATCCAGGGGGGTCCTGCTAGTCCCATTATCTTGGGGGGGGGGTCCTGCTAGTCCTATTATCAAGGAAGGTCCTGCTAATAAAATTTCCAACAAACTAATAATACCAACGAAACATTGTGAATGCTATCTTCATTATTTGGAAGTTCCTTCAGGGAGAAATAATAATAATAATACTAATAATAAATAAAATAAATATTCCAACATTCAATTAATTGCTATTTTGATATATATTAGCCAACTTTCATATAATATTCCACAAGTCTTTATTGTAGGGTTTCTATTTCGCTCGTTGCAGACTAGGTTGAACATCTAGGTTCCTCGAATCCTCAATATTGAAACAACTTGTGTCCCTGCTTCAACAAAGAAAGTTTGTGAGTTCGAAAAGGTGGTGGTTGGTTTGTGGTTCCATCTTTCGACAAGGGCGGCTTAAACACTTAGGACGCTTTGGTTGTCTCCAACGGTCAATACTTCTTATTGATTGATAGTACTTTCATCCAAATTTGCTTTTTTGGGACCTAAATCCTATGTCTTTATCTCACAACACTCATTGTTTAGCATTCATAGGATCAGAGAATTTTTGAATTCAACACTTGAAGACAGATTAACTCAGTAGCCTGATGCTTTGCCTAGTACCATTTAGAGACTTGGTAGCGAGTCTTGAAATTCCTTCCTAGTTTTTTTTTGACAAAGACTCGACTTAAATACATACCAAAAAAGTGACGAAAAAAGTATAAGAAAATTACGAACTATATGAGAATAAAAGAAAAGATTCGATGAAGATTCTTTTTTTTGTAAGAAAAAGAAAGAAAACTTATCTAAGTGTGGGAGCCGAGTCTACTGATCATGCCATGCAATTTGAATTGATTTCCAGACTTCGCTATCCAATCTATTCATCAACCATTATTGATTATTCAATCTTGATGTGGAATCCCAAGACTAAATGAAGCCATAAATAATTTGAACCCTTATAGAGTTTGTGATATTCACGAAGGTCTTTGCCACTAAAACTCTCTCATGTTAATTGCTCCAGCTCACGTCTGCCTTATGGTGCATGTCATAATTTTCACCAATAAGACTCTTTGATTTTCAACTCCTTTTTGCCTTACGGTGCCCACTTAGGGTTTTCACCAATAAGACTCTCTCATTTTTATTTTCTCTTACTCACATTTGTCTTATGGCGCCCATTCAGGATTTTTACCTACCCTTAACCGACTTACTCTCGACATATCAAGGGTTGATGAAAAGACTTTTTTTTACTTTAGATGATGGGGTTGATTTTGAGCTTTGAGATGAGAGACCGAATGAATAAACAAACGAATTTTTCCCCAGTATACTACAATATGAATTTTTGGATTTGTATTTGGTTGAACCGAACCCAATATTAGGGCTACCTACGTATCTTGCCGAAACAAGAATCAGGTCAAACGTAGTTCAGGTAACTTTTTTTTGAAGAGTCAAGGAAACAACATAACCAAGAGATCCCATTGAATCAACCCTTGAAATGTCAAGCCCAAACATATGGGTTTCTAATGTCGAAACTTAATCATATATAATATCTTTTCACAGCATCAACATTGACGATCGTTTTTGTCACTTTGCCTTCTATATCTGCTAAGTAAAGAGCACCATTGGGTAATACCCTTTTAACAACGAATGGTCCTCTCCAATTTCGAGAAAATTTGCCTTTGGTTTCAGCATGATGTGGCAAAATGCGTCTCAACACTAATTGACCCTCTTTAAAATGTTTGGGACGCAACTTTTTGTTATATGCCTGCGCCATTCTTTATAGATATAATTGTCCATGACATACTGATGTCAGACGCTTCTCATCAATCAAACTTAATTGCTCTAACCGAGTTTTTTGATCCACTCATCATCATCAATTTCAGCCTCCACAACAATTCGTAAAGATGAGATCTCAATCTCTGCAGGTATAACTGCCTCAGTCCTGTATACTAGTGAATATGGAGTAGCGCCCACTGACGTACGGACTGTAGTGCGATAATCCAACAAAGCTAAAGGCAACTTTTCATGCCATTGTCGAGAACTTTGCACCATCTTACGAAGTATCTTTTTTATATTTTTGTTAGCAGCTTCTATAGCCCCGTTTACCTTTGGGCGATATGGAGCCGAATTTCGATGCTCAATCTTAAATCGGTAGCATACCTTTTATATTAAGTGGCTGTTGAGATTTGCGGCGTTGTCAGTTATAATCACCTTTGGAATACCAAACCGACAGATGATGTTGAAATGGATGAAATCCACCACGACCTTCTTGGTTACTGACTTAAAAGTTATTGCTTCTACCCACTTTGTAAAATAATCAATGGCCACCAAGATGAACCTGTGACCATTCGATGCTTTTGGTTCTATCGGTCCAATCACATCCATTCCTTATGCCACGAAAGGCCATGGAGCAGACATTGCATGCAACTCAGAAGGGGGAGAATGTATCAAATCACCATGTATTTGACATTCATGACATTTACGAACAAATCGTATGGAATCCCGCTCCATGGTGAGCCAATAATATCCTGCTCAAAGTATCTTCTTGGCTAGAACATATCCATTCATATGAGGTCCACAAACTCCTCAGTGTACTTCAATCATGATGCTAGAAGCCTCTTGAGCATTTACACACCTTAGAAGACCTAAATCGGGTGTCTTCTTGTACAGTATGCCTCCCCTTAAGAAAAAAACCCTGGCTAGTCGTCGAATAGTCCTTTTTTGATTACTAGTCACATCTGACGAACATTCTCTAGACTGAACATATGTTTTGATAGCAAGAAACCAAGGCTTACCATCAAATTCCTCCTCAATCATGTTGCAACAAGCATGTTGATCACGAATTTGTATGTATAAAGGGTCAATATGGGCATCATCAGGGTGTTGGAGCATCGAAGATAAAGTGGCCAATGCATCTGCAATCTCATTGTGCATTCTGGGAATGTGTCTAAACTTCATCGACACGAATCGTTGACAAAGACCTTGTAAACAATGTTGATATGGTATGAGCTTTGGGTCTCGAGTTTCCCATTCTCCTTGAATTTGATGAACTAGTAAGTCTGAGTCTCCTAACACTAACAATTCTTGGATGCCCATGTCAACAGCTAACCTCAGACCCAAAATGCACGCTTCATACTCAGACATATTATTAGTACAATAGAATCTAAGTTGGGCTGATATAAGGTAATATTCCCCTGATTCAGACATAAGAACAACTCCTATTTCAACTCCTTTCCTGTTAGAGGCACTATCAAAGAATAATTTCCACCCTTGATCGTTATCGTGAATAACTTCATCGATACAAGATATTTCTTCATCCGGAAAATAGGTTTTAAGTGGTTCATATTCTTTATCAATAGGGTTCTCTACCAAATGATCTGCCAATGCTTCAGCTTTCATTGCGGTCCGCGTTATATAGATAATGTCGAACTCTGTGAGCAATATTTGCTGTTTCACAAGCCTACCTGTGGGCATGGGCTTTTGAAAAATATATTTCAATGGATCCATACGAGAGATGAGATAACTAGTGTAAGATGAAAGATAATGTTTCAACTTCTGTGCTACCCAAGTTAGGGCACAACACGTTCTTTCAAGAAGGCTGTACTTCGCTTCGTAAACGGTAAACTTCTTGCTGAGGTAATAAATGTCCCGCTCCTTCTTCCCAGTGTCATCATGCTGACCCTGTACACAACCAAAAGAATTATCCAGTACTGATATATACAATATCAAAGGTCTTCCCGGCTCGGGAGGAACCAACACAGGGGGATTCGATAGGTAGTTCTTAATTCTTTCAAAAGCTTCTCGACATTCTTCGGTGCACTCGACTGTGGAATTCTTTTTCAACAACTTAAAGATAGGCTCACAAGTTGTTGTGATTTGAGCAATGAATCTGCCGATGTAGTTTAACTTTCCTAGAAGGCTCATAACCTCAGTTTTGTTCTTTGGAGGTGGAAATTCTTGAATTGCTTTTATTTTTGAAGGATCCAACTCGATACCTCTTGGACTGACTATAAACCCCAAAAGCTTCCTAGATGTTACTCCAAATACACATTTTGCAGGATTAAGCTTGAGATTATACCTGCGGAGCCTTTCGAAGAATCTCCTTAAATCATTCACATGATTTGACTATTTTTTAGATTTAATGATAACATCATCCACATAAACTTCGATTTCTCTATGCATCATATGGTGAAACATAGTTGTCACTGCTCTCATATAAGTTTTCCCTGCATTTTTTAATCCAAAAGGCATAACACGGTAACAATATGTACCCCATGGAGTGATAAAAGATGTTTTTCTGCATCTTCATCATCCATAATAATCTGATGGTAGCCCGCATAACAATTCACAAAAGATGCAACCTCATGTTTAGCACAACTATCCAATAAAATATGGATGTTACGCAAAGGAAAATCATCTTTTGGACTTTCCTTATTCAAATTACGATAATCAACACACATTCGAACTTTGCCGTCTTTCTTAGGAACAGGTACGATATTGGCTAACTAAGAGGGATATTAAGAGACTTGAATGACTTTGGCTTCAAGTTGTTTTGTGATTTCCTCTTTAATTATTACACTCATGTCGGTTTTGAGTTTTCTTAACTTCTGCATTATCGGAGGAAAATTAGGATCAATTGGCAACTTATGAACAACCATGTCAGTGCTTAATCCAGGCATGCCATCATAAGATGACGCAAAAACATCTTTGTAATCAGACAGGGCCCGGATTATATCGTCCTTTTGATGTCGAACATGTACACTTATCTTAGTCTCCTTAATAATTTCCTGATCCACCAAATTTATCGTCTCAGTTTCACTCATGTTTGGATTTGACTTATTTTCAAAATAATTGAAATCCCTCTTTACTTCTTCGAATACTCTGTCTTCATCATATTCGATTTCTTGACTTATTGTTTCAATATTAGGTCAAAGATTAGATTGGATATTAAGATCTGGCGAAAAATTCTGTATGCATGTCATATCACTAGAATCGGCATAAAAAGAACTGTATAAAAGAAAACGAACAAATATATTAGACTGAAATAAAGATGCAATTACATCCTATTGAAAAAGGGAAATACAATGTTTGAAATAAAACGACAAGATAAAATCTGAATTATAATCCTTGAATGAATCGGACGACAAAAGAAAAACAAGACAGACTACCAAGACTCGTCTTTAACTGGGAGAGGGGTGGCCTCCCAATTGTTTAGATTGACATCAAGACCAATGAATTGCACATCTCTATCGCTAGTGCCTTCTCCGAGTTCTACCATATCAACCTCGACAAGTAAATCTTGAAAATAGTTGATCATTTCATCGGTAACTTGCATCACTGGCTCTAGAAAAGATGATTGATAAGATTCTGTTACGCGGACTTTGATGAAAGATTTGTAGATTGGTTGTATAGGCTTGGTAAGTGACCATATATCTCTCTTCTTCTTCTTTGCCTTCATTTTGTCATCGACTCTAGGTTGGTAGCCTACGCCAAAAGTACCGATGCTCTTTCGTAGACTCACAGGATAAGCTCTCCCTTGCAAGCAGATTCCTAAGCCTTTACCCGGCTCAAACTCATGTTTTAGCAATTCATTCACCACCATTACAGACGCAATGGGCATATTTGGTTTTGAAATGACACTCCCCTCGAGGACATTCTCAATAACCACTACATCGAAAGCTTGATAAACCAGTGCCTCATTCTCATTATTCGCCTTGATAAAAAGGGAGGAAGATTCTTTGTATATTGACAAATCCCCCTCACCATGAACAATCACACTCTTGTCGGTCGTATTCAAACTTGATCATTTGATGCAACGTTGAGGGGACTTCTCTAGCCCTATGCACCCATGGCCTCCCCAATAATAGATTGTAGGACGCGTTGATGTCCAACACTTGAAAATTCACAGTGAAATCCACATACCCTATGGTTAGTACGAGCTCTATCTCACCAATGACATCTGTTTTTGACCCTTCAAAAGCTCTAACACATACATTGTTGGGTCGGACCCTTTCAGCACTAACATTAAATTTGTGTAGAGTTGATAAAGGACAAATATTTGCTCCAGATCCTCCATCAATTAGAACTCGAGTGACATATGAAAGCTCACATTTTACAGTTATATGTAGGCCTTGGTTATGTCCTGTACCTTCTTTGGGTAGTTTATCATCTGAAAAGGTGATGCGGTTTATCTCAAATATTCTCCCAGCAATCTTCTCTAACTGACTCACTGTAACTTTACTAGGAACATGTGCTTCATTCAAAATTTTCATTACAGCCTTACGATGTTCATCAGAATGTATTAGCAAAGACAACAAAGAGATTTGGGCTGGAGTTTTTCTTAATTGTTCCACCACGGAGTAGTCTGATATTTTCATCTTCCTTAGGAATTCCTCTTCCTCCCCTTCAGTGACCGAACTCTTTATTTGAATTTGGTCATTTTTAGTTTTCCTTAATTCCATCGGGACATAACATCTTCCTGAACGGGTTATTCCTCCTACTTCATCTATTTCTTCATTAATTTCTTTTCCCTTGTATGTCACGACAGTAGACTCATAATTCCAAGGAAAAGCTTTGGGGTTAGTCATTGGGAGCTGGGATACTGGCCTGATAATCACAGGAGTAATATGGGCCCCTCGCACGATCAATATAGGCTTGTTTGGCCCTTTTGAAACAAAGGGTTTTGCCTTACTCGGGCTTGCCCAAACATCTTTAAGGGCTCTTTTCACAGTTAAGATGGGTGTGTTTGATGGACTCAACTTTTCTAACACATTTTCCGCCCCTAAAGGCATCATTTTTGTTAAATCAACAACATTTGTTGACTTCTCAATGCCAGTTCCAACCCTAAGGATTGGCTTATACGGAGATGCAAACTCTTCATGACCCTTCATCATTTCCAGTATGTTTGTTTCAGTATGCCTCGACAATGAATTTTGATTGATG